GGGAATAATTTAGTGTCTCCCACTCCTACTCCCGTGTCCGGTGTAACACGTATACGAAAAGATTGAAAGTGAGCTAGGAAGCTGTCGGGAACTTAGATTTACAGAAAGTCGAAGAACCACCATAAATCGAGATATTCCACAGTTTAAAATATTTATATCTTAAAAGATTAAAAATACATAAGTTTCTGGTTATTTTTAAGGAAGTATTGCAGGTGTTTTCTTTTGGGTAGAGAATTACTATGTATAAATCAGAGTTACAATAAAAACATGTTTTTATTGTCACAGTATTTTGATGCAGTACTACACTAACAATTTGTATGTTTGCATTAGGATTCCAATCCAAAATGCGCAGTCGTAGCCAGGAAGGCTTGGGTAAAAAATATCGATATATCGAAATATCGATATTTTCTACTAGCCTTCTTAGAGCCTAGACCCCCCTCAACCGGGGCAAGTTTTGTCATAACTCATAATCAACACTACATACAGTTAGCTGGCATGTTTAAACTCAGGTTATGCTGCTTCTTATATACAGAATTTCGTATTATGTGTCACATATACCAAGCCAGTGGTGATATACATAAAAGCAATATATTGTACAAAAATTGGTTAACTTATATTTTTTCAATATCACGGAAAACGTTTATGAACGATTTATAAAACCGATACGGGGGATTCGATTCATAAAATCGTAATGAAATAAATGATAGATTTAATTAAAACATTGTTTAACGTCACTCGCTATTAGTACACTAGAACTGTTTCTCTACACCTATCAGTAGAAATATCTTTAGAAATACGAAATTAAATGAGGTAATATTTTTAAAGTCAATGGTGAACTTAGCTGTCGTGGTCATTCAATGCCAATCAATTTGCCGCCGACGTGTGTCAGCGCGTCGCATTCGCTGCACCGGTTTCCATACAATGTTACTTGTTGACAATAAATATTCCGAAGTCGTATTTAGTGTACTTAATGAGACAGTATTTCGAAGAACGATCGGATAAAATCGAGAGTCGAGAACAGGCCTAGCCAGTAACAGTCGTGTGGAGAGATACTATTGGTTATATATGCTGAGTAGGCTATATGATGAATAGGCTGAGAAATTCGTAAAAATTATAACGTCCAATAACATTTATTAGTAAGGTGGCCATCGTTAAGAAAAATGTGACACTGGTACCTATTTGTTTTGAGCCTTGATTCAGCACGTTATGAAAATCTAATATAACTACACATACAACATTATACAAACAGCAATGCACATAATATTTCAGTAATATTTCACGGTATATAGAGCATTATTTTGTAAGAAATTAGAGACATACGGGACAAATAATACTTTTATAGAAAGATTTTTAATTCAACCAGTCCACCTTATGGTAATAGGATGCTGTGTCCCAAATACATCTACATTTATCCTCGATTAAGAAACAAAATGCAACAAAAAGGTGCAACGTCATCTACACTCACCATACGAAATACAGCACCATTAAGCTGCTATTTTACACTGGTATTCTGGGAGAACGTGGTCATTCCCCTGTCGAGGCCACCAATTCATGGTAAAACCACAATATGGCTGCAACATAGCTCTACCGTGTATACGGCCTATTAGATGCCTTATATTCTTAACTCGTATCTAATTATTAAGATTAGTCTGTATTTAATCTAGTCTGTGTAGTAAGTGTCCGCGATCGCTAGGACATTTTGCGAGCGCAGGCTAACAACCGCGTTATGCGCCGCCCGCGCTGACCGCCCGCCTTTTTACAAGCCTATTACTTCTATGGCCCTCGGAAAGCAATTTAATAAAGTGCCATCTGTTGATAGAAAATAAAACGACTTCATCACTATAAGTATTTTATGTTCCAAGCGAGCTTTAAGCTTAATAGGTCTTAGGATTTATTTTTATATTTTAAAAATATACGTCATAAATTTACTTTAAGCTTTTCACGTGGTAAAGCCATGCGGCAGCTATATTATTGGTATAGTTGCAGCACGAAGGGGTCGGCTCGACCGGGGAAGGATTACGCTCCCACAGAATACCAGGGTAAAATAGCAGCTTAACGCTGTTGTGTTTCGTATGGTGAGTGTAGAGAACCGGAGACCCTTTTTACTGGAAACGAGGCACTCCATCTTAGTCTTCATGGGTGATAACGCATCTACATTTTAATTCGTAGTCGAGGATAAATGTAGATGTCTATGGGCCACAGCAACCACTTAACATCAGGTGGACTGTGTCCTCGTTTGTCACCCATATCCTATTAAAAAAAATATTAACATTTCATTAGTGATCTCGATTTATTCATAGAATGGGTAAAAGGCATTGTAAGAATGATAAATATTAAATATTGTTGACTTTCAACTGTTTGGGAAATTTTCTTATGGTTAATTACAGTAGCTATACTTTATAAAATTTAAACGAACAGACTCAAAAATCAAATATTTAAATTGTATAATATTATAGTCGAACTAATAATAACACGATTTTTCTAAAGCTTTTAACTATTCTAAAGTTTGAAAAAGCACAAAAATAGTCAAAAATCAGTTGAACATAAACTTATGTTGGAAGAAATGGTTGCGGATTTCATGATATGTCTATGAAATTTTTAACATTTCGATCTAACTTTTTGTTTCATTCGAAATTTCAAATAAGTTCGATCTAAGTATGAATAGCCCCTATCTCTTGCTGTTCCAAGGAGTCGTGTAATTTCTATTAGTTAAACATGAAAGCTAGGGAAAGAATGCAGCTGAAATACGACGCGAGGGTTAACTCAATGACCTTTGTTGCGTCAGGTGAGCGCATGTTGCCATTTCGTTTGCGAGCAGGGACACGGAAAATCGTATTTGTAACAACTCGCTGTTACGTGTCGAATACACGTGCAGTGCAAGTTGTGAATATACACGAACATATCCATAAAGTTTTTATTACATTACTTGTTTTCGATTTACGACGTTTCTAAAAGTTAAATAGCAAAACAAACCTAAACACCACGAAGAATGTAATTTAATATGTACATATATGCGAATAAAGAATTTAATTTAATTTTGCGATAGCTATCAACTAGCACCTTTGAGGCTGCTCTTCATCGATAGTCTGGGTATAAGTCTATTTGCTTAGATACGGTTGCCTTTGTGTCGCGCCGCCTTGGCACGTGCCGTATGTTGTCAAAAGCGCCGCTGCGGCAGGAGAATTTGGCATTTTAAAACGAAGCGTCGTAGTGAAAGATACTTTGCTACCTGACTTGTGTGTATTATTTATATTCGTATTTTATTATAATAACCATAAGAATAGAAAAACTTTTATTTAAATAACACACTAAAAAATAATATAATAAAAGCAAAATAGTAGGTATAATAAAAGCAAGTTCGCCTCCGGGTGTACCGACACTATCTTAGTGAACAGAGTATAATCATATTAGTTACATATGGTATGAACAAAATGGATTTACCGCCCTCTTTCGGTAGCTAGTCATCCTTATGATATTTCGTGCAATAAAATTTTACAACAGCCGTGGGCAGATAATATTGTCTTCTTACGCCACTACGACAAGGCAGTATATTTACAAATGTAATTTAAATAAATCTAATATAAATATTACAAACCTAGAGTTTTAAATACTGATTTACCAAGTGACATGGATGGACACCGTGGGCAAACCATATTTCGATGATATTATATGAACCGATTTTATCCAATAGGCATTAATGCAGCATGACGAATTCTTCTTCTCATTCCGAAATCTTTCCCTGAGGCTTGGGCACAGCGAGGAACTCTAGTGAAAATATTTCCTTCAAGCAGGTTTTAGTTACGTTGTGTACTTTACTGGTTCGTGTTTAAATAACAAGTAGCGCCATCTACCATTGAATAGGATAATTAAAATTTAGTTACACGTTTTTCATTTAGAGAAACACTTACATTGTATGCGCTTGTTATACACAATCACATCAATCATTGAATAAGAATAAAAATGCAGCTGCGTTTTCACACCTAAGGGCTAAGATGACGATAATGAATGTCTCGTTACCAGTAAAAAGGGTAACCGATTCTTTACACTCACCATACGAACACAGAAACAGAAACAGAAACAGAAACTTTTTTATTCAATATAGATTATAAATAACACTTATTGAAAGTCACTCTTTTGTTTGATTACCACTGGTTCGAAAAATCCTCTGTCCTGGGAAGAACCAGCAAGAAACCCAGCGGGACTTCTAATGCAGCCAGCAGCACTATTCTAATGTTTCACACTGGTGTTCTGTGAGAGCGTGATCCTACCCCATTCAAGTCCACCCATTCGTGCTGAAGCTATATGTAGCTACGGTGTGGCTCTAATACGTGGCGATTCAACTTATTAATCAGCCCGCGACAGTCCACTGCTAATCTTAATTTACTAGGAGCTTTCTTCCTAGCACACCTTCTTTGTGGAATCGGCGGGCTTTATTCTTAGTTTTTTTTTATATGATAAGGGTGACAAACAAGCACACAGTCCACCTGATGGTAAGTGGATGCTGCGGCCCATAGACATCTACATCAAACAAAATGCAGATGCGTTCTCACCCGTGAGGACTAAAATGGACTCATTTCCAGTGAAAAGGGGCTCCGGTTCTCTACACTCAATATACGAAACACAGCAGCGTTAAGCTGCTATTTTACGCTGGTATTCTGTGAGAGCGTGGTCCTTCCCCGGTCGAGCGGACCCATTCGTGCTACCACTATACTACTAATATAGTTGCAGCATGGCTCTACCACGTAAAAAGTAGAGAGTACCTTCAAAGAAACAAGCTTATACTTTTTTTAAAAGCTCGCAACGCCCTGGCAGCCGTCGTGATATCCTGTAACGTGAACTGCATGCTCGGTTACACCTCCTTTTTTTAAATTGTCACGTTTGGTTTACTTTTATTCATGTTTAACATAAAAATTTGATAAGAACACGTGATTTTTTAAATATTTTTTATTAGTTTTAATTATATTCTCAAATGATATCAGTTGTTTAATTCTGTTTCTCAGGATGGTTCTCGGCGTGCGGATGCCGTGGCGGGGCGCTCGCTACGGCCCGGGGGTCCATCGCAGCACTGCTACGTACCAGAGCGTTCGCCCTAGTTTCTCCTCGTGCAATATCTGCTTACCGTGCGCGGCCGGCTTCAGGTACGAGTTCTCATAAACACATAAACTCTATCAGTCTATTGTCGCCATTTTTAAATAAGGAATCTCTTCATTTTCTACTTCATCAGCCAATGAAAGTCCTTTGCTTTACTTGGACCTCCTTCTTTATCGGGAGGATTTCTCATCAATCACCTCACGAAACATAGCAGAATTGTCATTTCACGCTAGTGTAGCGGCAGTGTAAGAATATTCACTGACCCATATAGTCCCGTGGGGGACCGTGAGTGGTGACAGGGGGAAACTGACGTAGGAAATGGGTAACTACATCTTCTTGAAAACAACTCAAAACAATTTTTGTCTGTTCGTTGGTCTGCTTGATTGTTCCGGCTAATCTCCTAAATAGCTGAAGCGAATTTGACGGGACTTTCAATGTTATATAGAGTAACTTAGCTACTTCTGATTTAGAAAAAGAATTAGGGTTAAATTACACGCGGGCGAAGTCGCGGGGAACAGCTAGTATAGAATAGCCTTAGTAAGTAAATGGCACGAATATGGGTCTCTGAGAGATGGCTGTAATATATGTATATGTGCCTTTTGTTGTAGAGACTATCGATCCGTATGGTCCATGTGGGGTGATTTTTCTAAAGACTAATTTTTCTCTCAACGACATTGGTCGTAGTCACTGTTGACAAAAGGGCTAGATTTTTTCTTGCCCAGAGGGCTAGTTCTTTTATCGCGTTCTTGGCACTATAACACGAGAAGTAGAACGGTGTGTTCATTTTACTTTTTAATTCTATTATTATTGTAAATATTTTTATTTAGTTTATTTTGCAGTGTGTAATTCTAGTGTATTTATTGTTTTAAAATACAAGTGGTAAAATTAAAAATGTTGTACAACCGTCTTCAATATAAATTATTAAGAATAACTCAAAAACTACTGGTCGCACCTTGATGAAATTTATATGGGACCATATGGAATTCACCAGCTTTCAAATAAAAAATCTTCGAAATCAGTTCAGGCGTCTTCGAGTAATCGGTGAACACACATAAAAAAAATATTCCTACGAATTGAGAACCATCTCAGTTTATTTTGCAGTGTGTAATTCTAGTTTATTTATTGTTTTAAAATACAAGTGGTAAAATTAAAAATGTTGTACAACCGTCTTCAATATAAATTATTAAGGATAACTCAAAAACTACTGGTCGCACCTTGATGAAATTTATATGGGACCATATGAAATTCACCAGCTTTCAAATAAAGAATCATCGAAATCAGTTCAGGCGTCTTCGAGTAATCGGTGAACACACATAAAAACAAAAGATTCCTACGAATTGAGAACCATCTCCTTTCTGAAGTCGGTTGAAAATGTCCATAATATGTGAAACACTTAACTCCTACTTAAGCTCTGCCAAGAAAAAATTAAAAGTTGCAGTTCATGGTAATATAATCTATTTTAGCATCCTAGCGTTTTTATGTACAAGCATTTATATTTCCATTAAAATACGCGTAATATGCAAATAAAAACGTTCGTTCTCCAGGTAAAAATGAACTAAATATTCATTACTTAATTATCAACCATCCCAGAACTAATTAAAGACAACTATCATTCTTTAACCGCACTGTCGCTTACCATTTCTATATGAAGGAGGACGCGGGGAACCGCCGGGTAATAATAAACGTAAGCTAGTTACAGGATATTATCACAGAGTAACTTTTCCACAGAGAACGGCAGAGTGGGGGCACAGTACGAGCGGGCGGCGGCTCGGCCCGGAACGCCCTTGCGTCTCGCTGGTGTGTTCGCGGACGGCAGCAAAGCAAAAGCGCCGAAATATGCCCAGCTTATTGATCCGCAGGGAAACGTGAGTAATGTTTTAATTAATTTTATATGAATACAACTAAGAAAAATAAAGTTATAATTTACACGAGATTGTAAATATTTACTTTCGAAGACGTGCGTTTGCACAGAGCCGCACAGAGGCACCGTGGTAAAATCTTCTCTACTCCATATAACTCTATCATAATTGAGACAAGATCTACGGTGGAATGTTTATTTTTATGTATGTTGAATGTTCTTCTTTTCCCTCTAAGTTGAGGTTAACTACTTAACTAAGTAATTATTTAATACATTTTTTCCCAAATCCCCTAATGTAAATAATAATATCCTATACACGGTATAAATATTTTAATAGGGATATTTGTTTGCAGTGCGATTAAATTGTTTGCCTTCTAGCTTAGAAATTAATATGATCACATTTGTTTAATAATTTAAAAAAAAACATACGTTAAAGTTTGTATTATTAATTTTATATTCAAACATAATAAGAAAAATATTGATGACGTTTTATGTATTAGACCAATTAATTTGAACCAATTAGGCTTTCGAACTAAAGTCAGGACGGTCTGAAGAGTTATAATCATCGATATATATGTACTACGCATTAGATTTCGCATTTCGAACATTCACTATGTTCAACTGAACTGTACTGCATTCTGTACACTTTACTTTAGTGTCATTTAGTGTAGCTTCAATATTCATGGAGTGTGGAGCGGCGCTAATAATACGAGATTTGAAATTAACGTTTAAACCTGGACGTAAATAACAATTCAGTAGTCAAGTAAGTAAAATGATTTGTTGTTCAAGTGAATAAATAGGTAGTAATATCGTAATATTACAATAGAAAAAATAAATTACTTCATTTAATGCCACGCTATCTACAACCATAGACTAAAACATGTAGATGTTCCATTACAAAACCGAATGTAGGTAAAATATGTACTTTTATACAATACCATTTTATTTTATTTGTTGAGCTGGAATAAACACATAAAAATTCATTTTCTTTTAGTTTCCTACAATGTTTCTTTACAAGTAATTCATAAGGCACAACACCCGTCCCAACTAACGAACGACGAATATAACATTATTATGTCAAAATTACATTTTAATAATATTTTTTGAATATTTTAAAAGATAACTATGTAAAATATAAAAACATACATTTATTATCAAAAACCTCCCTCTGGGTGACAGGCGTGAGTGTTTATTGTTATTGTTGTTATTATCAAAAATCATTATTATTACATTTTATTTACAAATATGTTTGTTTAGTTTAAAATAAGAGTATTTTATATTAAATTAGCACATATGCAAAATAAATGACAATTAAAAAAATGTACTCGATATAATTAACAATACAATCCAAATTAACAATGATTACATACTGATCATTCTGTCTACGTATATCTAATCTGTGATGACAAAAACTGACCACACAGGCGCAACGCGCATAAATCAACTGCGCATGCGTGACTCTATTACCTCCCGCGCATGCGCGAAGACATAGAGTTGCGCACATTTTTTGATTGGAATAGTATCTAGTACGTAGTACATCATAACTCAATGGTTATATTTAAGTCACTTTTTGAGCAGAATAGAACCTCTATAAATTTATACTCTGTACGCCGTCTGCGTAACTGTTATTGCAGACATTATAAAGTCATTCTGTCTGTAAGATCGTGTATGCCATTTTTAATTCAGCGATCGGCGGTCCATTTATTAACATAAGAAATATCCTTTGCGATATTTGAAACGCTTTTTATAAATCAGACATGTTAGATTAAAAAACGACACAATCGACTTTAGGATAAAGTCTTAGATTATTTACTCTCTAAATAATCAAGGATTAAGTACGTCACGGATGTCATTAACTCTCCAATGTAAACGTAGTAGTACACTTGGATTCATTTAATTTTTAGGTGAGGGTATTTTTTTAGAATTATGCCTTCTGACGGGCACACACAGGCTACCCAATAGTTAATAGATGCTGTGACTCAAAGATATCTACAGCTATTTGCAAATAAGGATCAAAATTAAGGTGCGTTTACTGTCACCCCTGAGGCCTAAGATGAAATGCCTCGATTCAACGGAGGGTAGAGAGCGTTAAAAGGATTCTTGATTCACGTCACTTGCCATACGAAACACAGCATTATTATGCTTTCATTTACGATGGTATACTGTGCAAGCTTGGTCCTTCCCCAGTCGAGCCAAACCATTCGTGCGGCGGCATCAATATAATGTAGTTCTACTCATAAAATTTTCAAAAATATTTGAAATCATTATTATTGTTAGTTATATTTTATTCTAAAATTGTCGCACTTACGACATTGTACAACTAATAAAAATAGATATAATCTAAATTAAAAATTACAAGATACATATAATACTTCAGATTTATTAATTATTAGGTATAATTTATTGTAAATTCGTGTGCCAGATAAACCAATTTAAGTAAGAAATGTACTCGTATATTTTTTTTTATTCTCTTTTAAAAAACGTTACCCCCACACTAGGATTTTCTCCTGTATCGTGGAGGCAGTTTACAAACATATATTGCACAAGGACAAACATCCAGACCCGGAACAATTATTTGTAGGCCATACAAATACTTGTTCCGTGCGGGATTCGAACCCGCGGCCCCCAAGCGTTGCAACTCATTGCTAAGCCACTACGCCACGGAGCCGTCGAATATTAAACATAATGCATATCGACTGAGACTTACAAAGAAAGATAGACAGTACTACCTGATATTTCTAATGACGTCGATAGTTTCGACGTCACTAGAAACACACATACATAACTTACATCCAACTACATTGTTTTAAACGTATATATATCCTTTAAACAATAATAATTGTTGTAAGTAATGTCAATTGTGTAGTTAAAATAGTTTTCGAACCCAATACGCTTATTTACAAAGCACTTTAAGTTGTTCCGTCGTAATATGAACAGAGAGATTCCATTTCATTGCGTACCGCGTGTCTGTCACAAATTAAATGCTATTGTGAAATCAAGTTTTGAGAGGTGTGGTAGCTCATGGACTAAGTTCACTGTAAATTTCACCAAGCAAAGCGGCTTCAATTCCAGCCAGCACCAATAAAGGAACGTATAAAGACTGTAACTTAACTTTAAAAATTCTATGGCTTTTTAAAGATAACTATTATTTTTAAAATATATAAAATTTCCAGATAGGATTCGAACCTAGGGTCCTTTTAACCTTGCAATTAAATCACAGTCATCACTCAGCCCATCTAGTGGCGGTGTGACAATATCAACTACCCATATCGTCTCGTGGGTGTTATAAGAAGCAACAAAGGCAATTAAACCAGCAGTTCGACGGCAGTGTCTTCCTAATAACAACTAAAAATAAAAAAAACTACGGTTGTCATACCGCCTGTCATACGTGGCAACTATGCCAAAAGTCCTGCCTATGAAGCAATTTATCAGAAGGTCTATTTTCACCAGTGGACTTTAATGGTAATATTGAATACTAAAAAACTACACTGTATCATCATCAATATCTATATCGGCGTACGCCAATAGCAGTCTTCTGCTGGACATTCTGCTGGAGTTCACCACGGTAAGATGCTAAAGCACTCCATATGAGCACCTGCAACCGTCTACAAATAAGTCTTCAAATGCGCTGTTGTTTTCTTTTTTAACAAAAAAATATTTCTTGTGCACCATCGAAACGTTTTAATTCGCCACACTAGATTTATCTTACCCTAACGTGCAACAAGTGAGCCATATAAAAAAAAAACAAAAAGAAAATGACCTCGCTCCTCTCAACCCAACCTAATGGAGTTGGACACAGCTATAGGCTGAAGGAACTTTATTGTAGCACTAATATCGATTAATCAAGCCCATCACGAGAGTGCACGTTTACGAACAAGGTAAAACGAAAAAATCTATCGAGCGTTAACACGAATACTCGATGTTGACTCGATTTAATTTTCTTTTTTTAATCTTATCTAACTCGAAAAAATGACGAATAAATTTCCACAGGTTAAATTAAAATATAAGTAATATGTTACAGAATATGTAATGAAATGGTGGCGTGCATTGGTGACGTAAGAAAATCTACCGCCCCATACCATCAGGTGGGTACCGTAAAAGGCGACAGAGGGAAACTGAATTAGGAAATGGTTAGCATCATCTTCTGGATAACAATAATTATAATTAAAACAGCGGTTGCATTCGCGCCTTCCAAGCAATCAACTTTTTTATGTTTTGTATCCAACTAGCTATTCCCCGCGACTTCGCCCGCAAGTTGTTTGGGGTTTTAATTTTTTTTCGCGGATACCTAATTCTTTTTTCTAAAATAAAAGTAGCCTAAGTTACTCTTTGTGACATCAGCTATCTGCCAGTGTCCCGTCAAAATCGGTCCAGCCGTTTCGGAGATTAGCCGGAACAAACAGACAGACAGCCAGACAAAAACTTTAAAAGTTGTAGTTTTGTTATTAGTACCGTTTATACTTTCATATGCATTTAGTAAAAAGCTGTAATTATGACATTACAAACAGACACTTCAATTTTATTTATTTGTAGATAAAGATAAAGATGACAAACGGGCACACAGTCCACCTTAAGGTAAGTGGATGCTGTGGCCCTTTGACATCTACATCTATTGTCAATTGTAGATGCGTTTTCATTCCTGAGGACTAGGATAGAATACCTCGTATCCAGTAAAAAGTGTATCCGGTTTTCTGCTAGCTGCTATTTTACGCTGGTTTTCTAAACAACAACAAACAACTGTTACAAATATCGCCCTCATAGTTACATTAAAAAGTGATATTTTGTTATCATTAGAGCTTTATTTTTTATATAAAACCACGCCTGAGGTATGCTTATTTAATATAAGAGTCATCCAAATCGGTTCGAAATCGGTTATTCATTAAGAACCTATTCCTTTTTCGGAGTCGGTTTAAAATCTATTTATAGAAGTGAAAGGGGAATACAAGTCCACAAATAGCCTGATAGTAAGTGGATGCTGTGGTCCATTGACGCCTATATCTATCCCCG